GTCTGTGTTCTGTCTTTGAACGCGGTGCACGCGTCTTTCGTCGTAAACGCTGAGGTGGAAAGTAATAGCGCAAAGCACGGCAAAGACAAGAGGCGGGCAAAGGAAGTATTTAATAAGTGCATTAAGAAATAAGAAGGAACAGATAGAGGATTGCAGCAGATCCAACTTCGATCAAACTAAGCGAAGCGCCTGGTGGCACGAACAATACATATGTAAGTGAATAGAAAAGGCATAGTTCAGCAGCAGTAGCAGGTGTGAAGTGCGGTGAAGGGAGTAACAGCCGCAGTATTGGTGCCAATTTTGCCGTTTTCACAGAGGTAAGAACTATAACGCGAACTCAAGCAGGCATCCAAGTGCTGCCTGCCTGCTGTCTCCCTGCGTTAGGCGGATGTGAAAATAAACAATCATTCAAGCACTACGCAACAGTTTAGAATAATTGCACACAAACACACGCTCACATTTGTGGTGGCAGCCAGCCGCTAACGCTGCTGCATTCCTACGTATCATTTACAACAATTGCGACTTGCTGCGGAAGGCTTTTCCATTTTCCAATTTTCGTATTTTCCTTGTGGCCTGCTTATATGAAGGCGTAGTGGCCAACAGCTTTCAGCCGCCAACCTAGGCTACTTATACGCACGCACACACACGATCGCATAGCGGCCAGCGAAGTGAACTCTCACTCTCTCGTACGCCTACAAGTGCCTGCGCTCTGCATAATTTTTTAGATGCTCGCGATCGCTTTCGTGTCCGCTTTCGCTTGAACTTTTTGGCCACCACATCTTGGCGTAAATTCATTTCGATTTAATTTTAGTCCAAGGTTTAAAGCGTTTGTGGCTTTTGTGCGCGATCACTCGCTCGTTCGCTTGTTCGATCATTCGTTCGGTTGATCGTTCGTTTGGCTAGTTGTTTGGCCTCTGCTCACTTGTACACCCTCTCGTTCCCTCCGACACACACATCCATAATACTTGATTGTTGGCTAACTGTTGGTTTGTTTAATTTGGCTGTTGGGTTGCGTATACGCGCGTTGATCAGCAAAAGCGAAGTGTAAGCGTTCATCACTTCGATTTTGAATTGGAATTTCGGATTTGCTGTTGGCGGGTGCGTGTGCATTACATATCCATACACACATGCATACATACTTGTACATTTATAAAATATGTGTGTGTATATTTGCTTGCGAGTTGAAGGTGGGGTTGGAAATAGCAACGCATTTCGAAATCTCCGCCCTATGCTTTGGGTTTCTTATAGTGTGTGGTTGAAATTTACGACTGCGGTTTGGGAATTTTTTCCCGGGTATTTATATTTATTTAAAGTAGTTTGAAGACAAAGCTGAATGCTTTTCTCCACTGCTTCTCGTGTTTCAATGTCTTGAGTAGTTAACTTCTAATGCGGCTTTCCCACGTTACCGTGAATTACTTTGTTCGCTCCCCCAATTACGATCGCGAATTCCCTCATTCACCACGGGCACATTCTTAATTCGATTTGACTGTTCTGTGTCTCTGTGTTTTTTTTCGGTACGAAATTGATGCAAAATGTAAGTTATTGCTAAATATTTATAAATTTCTGTATTAAATTGGTGATATACACATTTATTATTATTCTCATAAAAAGTTCCAGTTTTGATTCGATAAATTTCCGATTAAAATTAGAGACGCAAGCGATTTGTTCGTAATTCGCATGGTAATCGGATGGCTCTCAATTTACATATTTTTCCATTTAGCAGAATCGGATTCGAAATCTTTGAAAATCTAACGCCAAATTTTTTAATTCAACGTCTTTATAGCACTTTCGATTTGGCCTCTATAATTAATTTTTGCAAAATTTAGAATCAACAAAGTTACATATTTTCTAAAAAAAAAAATGCTGAATATTTCGATTTAAAAAAAAAAACATAAAATAACTTCTTTTAATCAGAACCAACACAAAACAACGCATACGGAAAACATGCCAGACTAACTGCCGTCACTTTTGTAATTCTCCAAACAAGTTTTTGCAGGTTATAGCTTAATTTTTAGTATACAAGCATGCATATGCATATGTATGTTTGTATACTTTTATTTTATTAATTGTAATTTTGTTAAAACAACTTTAATTTTCTAAAAGTCTACAAAAGTTTTTCTGTTGGAGACTTAAGCATTCACTTTTGTGGCAACCTAGTTCAAATTTTTGGCTTTTGAATGCTTTGGTTTTGTTGAAAAATACCGAAGTGCCGCACCGCGTTAACTCCTCAATTTTTTTGTCCCCAATTCTAATACGCAAAATGTAGATTAAAATTACTATTCTTTGTAGCATAGGTTAATTTGTGTATTAAATGGTAAAAAATAACCTCTACAAATCTAAACCTCAATTTTTTTTAGTTAATTTTTGCTTAAGCTCCCCAACTTGTTTTGGTTTGGTAGAGCAAGCTTTCGAAGCTTTTGAAAATAACAAACCTAACTCTTGTTCGGAGAAATTTTTTGCATGTTAAAAACATGTCTCAACATCTCCACAGCCTCCAAGTCTCCAAAATTTTTTGCGATTTTTATATAAAACTCAACTGTCGTGCAATTATTATGCTTGAGTTTTCCACTTTAAATGCCTTCTTTTTAAAAAAAAAAGTATTTCTCTGTTAAATGGTAATATTTCTAATCCTCCATTTTCTGTCATCTGAAGCGTGTTATTCTCGCGTTTATGGCATTTCCAAGACTCAAAATCAATTTTTTATTACTCTTCCTTTCGTTGTAAAGTTATATTAAGGCATTACATAAAAGTCTCCATAACTCTCCAATTTTTATTTTTGTCATTTCTAGCATTGTCAATTAGTGGCAAATGACTAAGAAATATTTTTTACTTAAAAAACTTGCCTTCTGCTAATTTTTTTTATTTTAAGTATCCTCAGCGTATTGCGCCTAAGCGTTTCTCTTCTTCCATGCGTTCGATCGCGTTAATCGAACATTTCGAGCACATATTCAACAGCAAATTCAAGCGCTGCCATCTCTTTCACTCACTTGGACTTTTCTTGTTTGTGATTTTGGCTTAGCCAAAAATAAATTTCCCATTTTCTTCGCCACACATACTGTGTATGTATGTATGTATGTATGTACATACATATGTACATACGTGTGGATTTGTAATAGGAATGTATAAATAAAGCTTTAGCAGTGCTTTTCTTAGTATTTTCGGAAAATACACAGCTAGTTTTGTTTAAATTTGTGTGTCTGTATTTGCCAAAACTAAGCTGTTTTCTTGGTATTAAGAATATTCGACTGCTCATTATGCATGCATTTTTGACTCAGTTGAAAGGTTGACAATGATTCGTATTTATTATCTACAAAGTAGTATACTTAAATCGAGCTATGCAGAATTGGAGGTCCTATGCCTGCGCGCTCATCCATCTGTTAATGCTAAGTGATTTAGCACAGTCTAGCTGTATACCTTTTTTATTTGCAATTTCAAAAACCCAACAATCGGAGTTGGATATGATTCTACAGCCTTTTTTGACTTCAGAAAATCTGTTGAGATCTCTAACTCCATTTGAAAAAAAATATTTATATGTATACGATGTACATATTTGATTTATTTCACTATGTACATATGTATGTATGCACATAGTATGTAGTATATTACGTTCGCGATAGTGTAATACTAAAACTACGATGAAACAACAACAATTAGGTAAAAATACATATAAAAAATAAACATTGTCTTTATCTTGTTTTGAGGCCATGTTTTTTTGTTATTTTATAAGCTTTTCTTCTCTAATAAACAAATACAAACACACACACACACACACACTTACAATCCTTGGCTAAGTGCTTGATAAATTTACAGTTAAGTGGGCATTTGTGCTGTGGTGTTTCGAAATGATACGAGTTCAAACGCATGACTTTGAGACGATGAGCCACAATTGCATCAATACATGCAAATAGTCTCTTAAGCCTTTACTGTATGTATGTGCGTATGTATGTGTGCATGCGCGTTCAATTAGCTGCAAAGTCTTGCACACACAGGTGAATCTACTGATAAGAACCGATAACATTTTTTGATTTCAGTTTTTATCACCCCACCCTGCCGCTCTGTGCCCCAGCGGGAAGGTGTGTTTCATGTGTTCGCGTGTAGATATTGAGCTTCAACCAAAGCACTCAAGCCCGTGTTCGTTCTGTGTTGTTTTTCATTATTTTTTATTTACATTGTTTTTATTTTTCATATCTTTATCTGTATGGTTTTTTTTACTGTGTTGGTGCAGATAGTGAGCGCTTAATTTGTGGCCATCGGAGGCTACCTTTAGCAGCGCCGATTAAAACTGATTGAGGCACAAAATCGGACGTAAAAACTAGAGACTAGATACATATTTACAATGCTTTTAACTAAAATCTAGGGGAGTGAGAGGAGTTTCGGATGTGAAGTATGTATGTAGATTTGCTTCAAAATTTACTCCAATGTTAACATAGTAGTCAACAGTTAAAGCCACAGAGAACTGTTAATTCGTTTGAGGAAGTCTCCTTAGTCTAGGTTCAGACGGAGAAACTTTTGTCGCGGCAACTCGTTACTTGTGGGAGAGGGGGAAGCGAGGAAGGGGCAAGGGCACCGAGTTGCTCATGCTTCGTTAACACGCATTGTGCTCTCGTTCGTTTGAGTTATTCTAGTTGGCCGTTCACAGCTGAAACAACAATTGTGTACAAACGAATTTCTCTGTGTAAACGCGAAGGGCAACACCAAAGGAGAAATTGCCGAAAATGAGCAACAAAAGTTTCTCTGTTTCTCGATATCGATCGTTAAATTCATCGATAACTGCGCCGCTTGTTGCATCGTAAAATGCGCACTAAACAACGGTGTCCATAAATTTATGAATAATTATTAAATATATCTTTGGCGGTAACGATGGTTGAATCTATAATTATATCAACAAAATGTATCGATAAAATGTTAAATGATGTTACATGGCCGCATCGATAAATATGTATATCAACAATGCTTATCGATAAATATTTAAATGATTACATAAAAGAATATGTATATGAAATAGTATACCGATAACGATAACGATAACCATACAGAGTATGAAAAGGCTACTGACGAATCTCTACGTTAAGCTGATTACAAATTCCAAAAAAATTATATTTCGCATCTGAAGGGACATTCTCTGACGGTGGCTATAAAGGGGAGAGATTTTTAATAAGTAGACCTAAAAATCTTGGTCTTGATTGGCAATATGTATTTGGATTTCATAATTTGGTTTTCACCAAATAAGAACGCTTCAGTAAATACTTTATTCCATACCGAATCCAATTTCTGCTCACAATTCTTTAGTCCTCATCCCATCTTTTTTTTTCGATTTTGTTCCATGAAATCGTTTTTATCAAGGTGTAGTAATAAAAGCCACGTTTTTGCTCGTTGAGCACAAAGGCAATCTTTCATGAAAAAAATACCTGTCTTTATTTACCTACCCCACTTTGATTAAACTTGAAAGTTTTCCGCGCGCTTACGACTCAACCCCAGCAATTGAAAAAAAGCACCTCATAAAAATTCACATATACATACATACATATTTACAAATCGAATATTTGCGACAGATATCTAATCTTCAAATTGAAGTCGACGAAATAGTGGCGTCAAAAACTCACACTTACACACACACACACAGAAACCAGTGCAACAACGAGCAAAGCAGCTTAGATATTTCTTTATGAGTAAAAATTCAAGTTAACCCTATATTAATCATTAGCGAATCGGTGGAAAAAATTAACAGTGTGCAAACAAGCCACGCAACTGATAGGACAGGCTGAGGCGTGTAACGACAGTCAATGTAGGGGCGGACGTATTGTGGGAGGCCATTCGCTTGATCATTACAAACCATACTTTTGTATGAACAAAATAAAACATACAATGACGAGCTTAAAAATCTACATAAGTACTTAAAACAAAGCATTGATTAGAAAATAATAGATTTTGTAGCAGGGGGCATTGTAACTTGAGAAAATATTTTTCACAGATACATAGCTGCCAGCTAGCTATACAGATATTTTACACTGTAAGACGCGCTTCAAGTCCAGTTTGAAAAATAAGAATAAACTAAATAGAAGATTTTATTGTGAATGCGCAAACAAAGCGCGGCGACTGTGTATTTAAGATTGCAACACGTTGGTAAAGAATAAGCGGGGAGGGTAGGATTAAGTAGGTTAACAAATAAGAGTAGTAGACAGACAGACAGCCAGCCAGCCAGCCAAATGCAAGAGGCGCACCACCATCCAACCACACACAACCCAACCTGCCACGAAGGTGGCTGACACTTCGGCGTGGCGACAAGTGGGCAAGACTACCTGCACGCAGAGTACGAGTATAGGAAAAAAAAATTAAATTAGGCTATATCAACTGATAGCGCGCGCGATATACATATGTACGTTCCAAAGCCAGCTGAGTCAGAGCTGCGCTGGAAACTATGTATGTATATGTAAGTACTTTTGTTACACTTGTATGAGTTTGTGCACCTAAGTTTTATAGCGCTGGTCTGCGTGAGGTGTACGCAAACAAATACTCAGCCCGCGACGACAACAAAGTTTAAGATAAGATTGAAGCGCTGATAGGCTGATATGTACATATGTACGTAGTGGGTTCTTTCAAAAGGCATTGGAGAACAATTCAGCAATTTTAAGTAGCAGGTGAAGTCGTACCTACATATAATGGTAGAGATCTATGTAGGTATATTAGAGTCAAATGAATGGTTTAAAAAAACTATGGATATTTGCTTAAACTCAAAAAAGCCTCGATAGCCCCGAGTATCGCGAAACTTAAGAAAAATACCCTCGAGTTCGAGTTTAAAGGTCTCAAGTGAAATACATTGTATTTTGATTTTGCCGAGTGAGAGCGAAACTCAGCCCTGTATATATGTGTATGTATTTTATTCACTAAGATGATCGTTTTACTTTGAGGCAACTATGGAAAGTTAAGCTTGCCGACAACAAAGTTGCACAGCCGTCTTTTGTCAACCCAGAGAGCTCATCGGGGCTTCTCGTATTTAAATCAGAGGTGGCAGCTATGTATGAAAGGGGCATTCGACTGGCAATTAGTGTTCTACGATCTAGCCGTTAGTCGACTGGCGGTATGGACAACAGCACTTCTTCAGCTGGCCAATCGCCTACTCTCGGTTCTGATAGGAGCTTTGGTCGGACACTATACACTAACCCCCATTGCCGTATCTGTGCTGTTTTTGCAAGATTAAGGTTCATACATTCGGCTCGTATTTCAGCGGCACCATCGAGGAATACTCTGGGGTGGGTGATCATTGGCTGCCTGCGGAACTTCGTTTTTAGCATTCAGCACTTTTCTCAACAACAACTACATATGGATTATCTGCGGTTACCGTTCTAGCAAAATCGAGTTATTAAGTGGCAACACAATAGACAATATAAAAAATGTCTAAGTGTATCCTCCGCGAGGCTGCCGTCTAACCTTACCTAACCTCACCTCAATGCATACATACGTATGTATGTATGAGAATGTATTTTCAGAAGTTTTCATTCCGTTTTTCATTGTTCATAAGCAATTTTTTGAAGTAATAAGCTACATTCGCTGGCCTCTTCAGAACAATCATCTTATACGCCACCCTCTGCCTTTCGCCAGCTATTCAAGCGCGTCATCACCGTGGCTACGGCACAGTTAATGCCTTGTAAAACAAGCAAATATACGCTAGCACTGGCTGACAGAAAGGGTGGACAAGGTGTATGTATGCATGTATGTAGCGTGCTAAAATTTGGAGACGCAGCAAAGCGAACTACGCCACAGACCAGAGACTAAGCTCAGCGCAGCTACAGTTCGTCCCAAAACCAAAGCGAGCGCTTATCATAAAATTAAAATCGTTATCATTATCAGCAACGACGATAACTCGTCGAACGCTGCATATGTGTGTGTGTCCGCTTGCAGTTGTGCCAGTGTTAGTACGAGCTCGAAAGTTACCGTTTGTTTAGACGCTTAACTGTTTTGGGGCTAAATATTCTCATTATGTGTGCTGCGCCCTGCTTTGGCTTTAGCTTTGGTTTTTGTCAAACGTTTATTAATTAATCGTCAGTAAAGCAAAAACAAAACAAAAGCATATTTATTAAAGGTGAAAAAGCGCACGCTCAAGAAAGCAACGTAAAACAAAAAAAAAAACAAAAAACAAAGCGCTTATGTGTTAGTAAATGTGCGTATATGTGTAGCTGGATACGCAGACAAGCATGCAAGTTTCACGGTTTTATCACAAACTCGGTCTACTACCGTCAGGCGGCTACAAAAAATACTCGTCTAACTGTCAGTTATACGTGCTCTGGGCCGACTCTAAACGGCCAGTCCGTTTCACACAGCCCGCAGCTCAACAACGCACACGCTGTGGTTCGTTAACAGCCGCGGCCCGGCTCTACTTGTAGATAAACTTTTTTAAGGCTCAACGCAAGCTTATCAAGCTAATCTTTTTTTTTTTTGACTATTCTCTCTGTCTTATTTCATACTCCTGCTGCATTTGTGTGCTGCGTGCCGCGTATTATACCAAATCTGCAGCTTCAAGACGTCTCACAAAAAGCGCATGAAAATGGAGAAGACTCCCCGCTACACGCAACGGGAGCGCAATATGGTGTTGGGTTTTGCCGCTCAATATAAGGACGTCATCGAGAATAAGCGCACCGATGCCGAATCGAATCGAAAAAAGGACGAAGTCTGGCGTCAAATAGCAAAAGAGTTCAACGCGCGTGTCTACCACCAACGCTCCTCCAAGCAATTGCGTCAACTGTACAAGAATATGAAGCTGCTGTTGAAGAAGGATCTCTGTGGCGAAGGCAAGGGCAACCGCACATTTATGGATCTGTTACATACGCTGTCGCAGCAGGAGTCCGTGGCGCAATACATATCGGAACAAATGTCGCCGAACGGTGGTAGCGGCGTGGGCAATGGCAGCTATGGCGGCAATCGACAGCACAAATACGATGATGACTACGATGACTCAAAGGTGAGTTCAAAATGAAAAATGTAAAAAGATACTAAAATATTAGCATGATAAGTGTGTGCGGGCATGGAAGGGTGGCTAGCAATGAAAATGGGGTGCAGAGTTGTTTTAGGCGAGGCTCTTACTTGCAGTTGGGAGGTGGAAAGTGAATAGTAGCTAAGTGCTTGATAGATATGTGTTTAGACAAGGGGCTGTAGGCGTGCGATTGATAACAAGTGCGATTTACCAGCGGTACAGATTAAACTGGGAGCGAGCGATAAAGCAGAGCAGCAACGAGTACGCGAACTGCGGAATAGATAAGAGAGTTATTGGAGATTCCCGTAAGTTAATAGCAATCATAAGGTTTAAGAAGAGTTTTCGGCTAAAATCGCTTGCTCGCTTGCGTTAGGGTATGAAAATTTATAAAAAAAAAAGATTTCAAAACGCAGTTAGAGGATTTAGAGAGGTGCTTCAATCAAGTTTCTTCTACTTCTACTAATCTCGGCTTTTTGTATTATTTTTCCATTCACCTCCAGAATCCCTTCCCACAACTCGCCGCTCTCGCCTACGATGGCATGGATCCCGACGTGATTGTCATAAAATCCGAGGACATTAGCGACAATGATCAGTCGCAACCGCCTGAGGACATGGACGACGACGATGGAGATTGCCTGAGCTCGAAGGACATACCGGAAGTTTGCCTCGAGGAGGAAGATGATGAAATATTCGCTACTGATTTACGCCAATCAACACCCCTCCCGCCAGCACATACGTCTCAACGTGGTTCCTTAACCGCAAATGGTCCACCTCCGCAGCAAAACGGCTCACAGCAGCAGCAACAACCCGAAGTGACAATACAAAATGTTGGCGGCATACGCGTTGGCAGCATTGGCAGCTTGGCCAATTTGAAGGCGCTACAAAATGGCGTCAATAACTCTGCGCTCAGCATACCTAACAACAGCGGCGGCGGCGGCGGCGGCGGCGGCAGCAGCCACAACAATGCCGGCACCAATAGCAACGCACATAGCAGCCATCATAACGGCCGTCAAACGCCCAGCACACGCCAACAGGTGAGCGCCGAACAGCAAGCCGCGCAGCAATTGCTACTCAACGGCCTTGGCTTGAGCGCCGTGCATCCGCCGGAGCCGCCACTGCCGCAGCTGCAGCGCGCTACACATACAGGCAACCACAACAACAGCAACAGCAGTCTTATCAACAGCACAAATCAGCTGCTGCTGAGCTTGAATGCCAACGCCGGCTATGCTGGCTTGCACAAAAACAGTCACAGTCATGGGCACAATCACGGTCACAGTCATCACAACGGCCATGGGGGCAACGGCGGTGGCGGCCTGCACAATCACAGCAACAGCAGCAGTGGTAGCAGCAGCGGCATCGGCTTGGGTACCGGCGGTGGAGCACACAGCGGCACTAATAGCCGCAATAATGATTATCTAATGTCGCTGGCGATAAAGGAGCGCGAGAGAAAAATTGACTTGTTGAATGCACAAATCGAGTACTGGAAGACGCTTACGAAGAAGTTGGACGCTAATGCGGCGCATAATCCGACGCCAGCGTGCATGTGTCATTTTCCCGGCAAAGTGAATGGTTTGCAAACGCCGACAAGCAGCAGCTAGTCCGATACGGAAGAGGAGGAGGAGGAGGAAGTTAAGGCGGAAGAGGTGGTCGATGAGAAGAGGAAGGCAAGCGCAGTAGACGGCAAGGTTGCAGATGAGGCGCTTGGTGCGACCGGAATGATTGAAAGCGATGCGGCCGCTTTGGAGCTCAATGCGCAAGAAGTGGCGGGGGAAAGTGGTGTGACGGCGAAAATGATGAGAGATGAAGTGTTACGCGCCGCTGGCAACTCGCTTGCATCCTCCTCCTCCACTGGTAATGCGGCTGGTCATACAATGAGCGAGGCTTTCAAACTGGCGGCAGAGAACTTCGAAATTCTCGAATTAGACGCCTACGCGGAGGAGATGGAATTCGATGATGCGGAGGATGTGGCATGTCTGCTGGTGAAAATGTATAAATAGGGGCGAAGTCAAAAGATGCACAACCTCAGCTGGAGAACGTGCAGCTTTAAGAGTGTGCGCATAGCAGCTAACTTTTAAATTTTAGTTAATAAGCGTATAGATTTGTAAGTCTTAGCGTTGCAAGTATTTTGTGTCTAAATATTTTTTTTTTTTTTGGTTATGCGTTCCTCACTAAGCATTTGTTTTTTTTTTGTTTTCGTTATGCGTTAAATATGTAGTTCAATAAATGCAAAATTTGTGTGTCATAGCTTGTAAAAATGTATTAAAAGTAGCAAATGTACAAATACGGTTCCTAATCTAGTCCTCTTGTCTTATAAGAAACAGGAAGCCAACTAATTTTTTTTTTACATACCTACACACATAAGTATGTAACTAAAAAATTTTTTGTTTTGCCAAATCGAACCCTAAACCAAAAACAAAACAATTTCAAATGAAATCACTTTCAAACCAAAAATATTGCATGAAGTTGCCAATTATTACTGATAAAATTTTTTTTATTAATTACGTTTTTAGCAAGAATTTTTCTATAAGTTTTAGAGCAAACATAAGCTATTGGTCCGAATTCTTGTTTACGTACGAATTGAAAATTTGAAATATTTGATTATAAATACAATAGGAAAATTATAAATTTTCGATTCGTACGAAAACAAGAATACGGCCTATTATCATCGCTAATATGTATGAAGTATTGTAAGTAAATATTTATTTAAAAAAAATTTATATCTTTTGGTATTGAAGTCTGTTTATCTTTGGATATAAATAAGGTTAAAGGGAAGCAGCTTGGAATACTAAAAACCTGTAAACTCTTCATATGTGCCCATAAATTTAGAATATACGTATATGTACATCTACATGCTGTACTCATTTATAGAAATAAATTAACTTGTATTTAAAAACAAAAGGCATGAATAAGCATAATTTTTTATATTTTTCATTACATTAATATCACTGCAACAAATTTCAATTTGATTAAGCTGGTCAAATAATGAAAAAGTATTAAAGGATTTGAAAAAGTTGGGGCCTGCAAATGGCGAAGCATCTGAAACGCAACTAATGCCAATGTTGACGAGTCGTAGAATTTTTCCTTCCTAATTTACGAATTACGCAATGTGGCTGAATATTTTGACTGCTTTTAATGAATGCAATTGGTCTCAATGCCATGACTTTTCGAGTGTTGTACTCGGTATTTTTTTTTTACGTTTTTTTCCCGTATATATCTTAGTGAACTATTAACCCGTTTTTCTTAGTGAAATGTAAAACATTGAGGTAATTCTTTTTAATGTTTTCGTATTTTATAAGGTTGGCTTTCAATTTAAAACATGTACTTAAATAAATGTGCTTACCAAAAAAAATTATTTAACATTGCTAAGCATTTTGTAAAGGGATTGCCTAGTCATAAAAAACACAAATTTCTAAAAATGTTGAATATAAAAATTATTGTAGACTTGAATTGTAAAACACATATTTGTGGCATGTATAATAAGAAATGTGAATAAAGATTTTTTAACAATAATCAACAATTTGTTCCAGTACTCTAGGATTTAGTCAGAAGCTGTGTTCGGTCTGAAAGGGCAAGTTTCCGAGCCGCACTGACACTGGTTTTGTGTAGTCGGTCTGAAAGGACAAGTTCCAGAGCCGAAATTTATATATTGCGCACCATTTGATAATATCGGAAAAATCTTATGAATAGCAAACAGCTTTTCAGTCTCGATTTTTTACAGTGCAAAATGTAAATGTAAATGAATAAAATCGGTAAAAATTAGCTAAGACCTCTTAAATAAAACTAAAAATCCCGCTAGTCACCGAAATCTAAATTTTACCGCTAAATAATAACTAAATGGCAACACTGGTACCGACACCAAAGAACCAGCCCGGTTGGATAAGACCGTTTGAAGAGCACTGAAGTAATGTAAAATTTGCTAGCGGTTGTGAACTTGGCTAGCATTTTTTTCGATTGCGAAATCAAGGTTGTCAATTCCACTACGCAGCTGCTCGCTAATCGCAAATTAAAAATGATATATAAAAGTTATAACGAAATCACTTGTAATTCATTACGAGCACAATTTTTCCCCCGATCCCACAATTTCTTCAGATTGTCCCAAACCATGCAACATTGCTCTTATCGGTTTCACAGTCATCGTTTATCGATTTCACTGCTGTCAAGCCGTATTCACACGAATTGGCCGTTCATTGAAGAAGAAGAAGCAGATGCGGAAGGGAAATTTTCACTTCCAGAGGTTTTCTCAATCTGTCATGGAAAAACCAGCGGTAATTAGGCTTTTCTGCAATAATTTGTAAGCTAAAATAAAGAATTGTGAAATTGTATTAGAAGTGTGCAGTGGCTTATAATTCGACGTGGACTGGAAGTTTTGCGGCTTAACCAACATCCGATTATTGGACTCGATTGGAAAATATTGGTGTTTCTATCAGGAGGCGCGGCTGAAACAGTGGCCAGAGAGCAAGCAGCAGCGGAGATTCGATAGTGCAAAGGAACGCAATGCAGGAGTGATGTGAGTGCAAATGTATATCCAAAAATTGATTAGTTTGTGTGTTTGCATGTATGGAAGTGAAAATTGTAATAGCGCCCACCGTCGAGTGGGTGGGGTGCGTGCGTTTGTGCATGCATGTGTGGCCGGGAACGGGTGATGCAGTGAAAATTGAAAGTGCTCAATTAGGTCTGAAGCAGCGCAGCAACAGCAGACGACTCAGCGGTCCAGCAACGCACGGACCGGGCAACACACTGGCCAAAACGCACGCTATATAGATGCTATGCGATAGTACGTCGCTGCTTTAGATGGTGTATTCGTCATATTTCGAAGTTTTTGTTGTTGTTGTTGTTGTAGCGGCTACAACATATATCTCGAAGTCGGCGTTGCCTGTGGCATTGTTAGCGCCGTCGCAGTCGTCGCCTTTGTCATTGCGTTGTTAAATATCGTCGCCACATCGGGGTTTTCCGCTGGCTGTTAGTATAGTCTAGTGGTGGTCGTTCGCTGTTGTAGACGTCGGCGGCGCGCTTAGTGGGTGCACATAAAATAGAGAAATAAATAAACTCTTGAAGAAAAGTGTGAAACGAATAGACGACAACCTCAAATTCGCGGCTCTCTTGTCTATGACGATAACTTTTTATTGCTTGGAAGTAAATTTTGTTCCTTAAAGTGTAGTTTTCCTTATTTTAAAATGTCAATTTGAGTCTGCTGCATGCTAGCGTCTTGCGCGATTTTTTACTTTTCTGGAGGGTGGTAAGTTTCTATGTGACTTGCCTTTGCAGGCTGGTGAATAAATAGGAAAATTTATTTATTTCTTCACTACGTATACGTGTGCCACACGCTGAGTCAGCGACTTAACATACTTGAAAATGATGGTATACATATAACTAGCAGAAATAATTTTATTCCTGCGTTTCTTTGCAAATATACCGCAACTGATCGGTGTAATATCCATGCAGTGCCTACATATTCCACGCAGCCGTCTGCGTCTGCCACCGCCCACATGCCTAATTGAGTTTATGTTTTGCCATGTTAGCTCGTCTAGACGTACAACTTCAGCCACGTTCCCCTATAGAACTGTAGAACCACTGTGTGTTTGTTTGTGTGTTTGCATCCATACTTCACACTGTCGAATTAACGAGCGTTCATTCATCCATTTCATCCCTACTCCTGACTCATACCACACTGTCTGTCTGGCGGACGTCGTTAGGTCGTCGAAGTCGCGGCAGTGCGGCTTCGCGCTGGCCAATGCACTTAACAGCGAGGGCACTAAACAACGTTGACGACGACGAAAAAGTCTATGCACAGTGATTTAATGGTAAACAAAGGAAGTTTGTAAACCTGAGGGTATATAGAAAAACAAAAAAATATATGTATATATTTGGTGACTTTATTTTCAAAGTTCAGCACTACTTCTACATATGTTTGTATGAATCTATTTGTGATTGCTTAGCATTTTTGTCCGCATACCTATTTTATTTATTTAATAGCGAACCTTTTAAGTTTATAGTTTACATACGCTCACATAGTAAAAATGAAGACCCATTTGCTTCTAATAAGCTTTGGTAATCGATACACCTATGAAATTTTTACGCAGCATAGAAAAAGAGGCGGCGGTCACTTCTGCATAGTTAACTCCAAATTATTTTTGATCATGGCACGCCTGCTGTAAATGAGCCATATCTATGTAGTGGATAATATTTTTTAGCAGAAAGTCTATGCACATTAGGGTGGTCCTTAGAAAAAATCAATTGAGCGTTTTTTTTCAGTCTCACCCCTTCAATCGGTAATACCACGGCTCAAAAAATGAAAATTAATTGTTTTGCCAACTCATACCCAAAATTGATACTACCGTAGTCGAAGATATCACATATAAATTTTGGTCCCGATCGGAGTCGGTTAAGACGTCTTCCTAGGGTAATCTGAATTTTGACCCCTGTATGTACATACATATCTGTGTTCGTATGGAAAAGTAGCTTATGTCGAATGGCCGGCTTTAGTATAATGCGGCATTCCCTTTATTTTTTAAACGTCAAGGAATTTTTTGATGAGACTTAAAAAGAATATTGACTTGCTAGCATCGGAACTATTTCTTGCACGTTTATTTGCTAAAAGCTGTTTAACGGCTTAGCGCCCGTAAGTCATTCGCAATCGTATGCTGCGAATGCCGATTTATACTAAAGCCAGCCTTTCGACATAAGCTACTTTTCCATACGAACACAGATATTTAAATGAAGGAAATTTTAAATTAAGAACGTAGAGCCAACTTTCCAAAGTGCATTTAATGCTGGGTATTCACTTTAAAATAAACAACATTGTTCCTTGCATTTATTAATATCACTGTGCTCCGCGGCAGCGTTCTGCTGACAATGACGCCGCTT